GAGGGGGTGGGGGGGGACTTATACTACCCCTTCTTGTGTGGAATATTTCTGCACATGCAGTTTGCAGTTTGCAGTTTGCAGATTAAAAGTGCAGATTGCAATTCGTAGATGAAAAATCCGATTTAATTTCTTTTAATTAGATCGACGTAGTTTAATTAAAATCAGATAGATAATATCTGTTTGTTTTCCAAATCCTTAAAAATTTGTCAGTTTTTTATCCATGGAAAATCTCCCCTTTTCCAGATCTTAATTTTAACAGATATTTCACGCATAGAGACAACAGAAAAGCGGGATTTTTTTTTATCAAATTAGCAAAATTGTTTTACATAAATATATTTTCAAATATTCAATTCAAGTCGTATTAATTATTATTATTTTTGAAATTATGATTCAAAAGCAAATGATTTTAAAAGTTGTATTTTGTTGTATATTGTAGCATGTATATTGTATGTAAACTGTTTACTGTTTACAACGTATGCTAGGCAACTGCCAACTTTTTTTAAGGGTTTACAACTGCAGGGTCAACCCTTTATCTATCTATCTATCTATCTATCTATCTATTCCCCTACCCAGAAACCCATAAACAACGGTATCAGTGAACACCAATTCCCCGTTCTAAATACACTGTTATACGGATACACTAACACACACTATACACACACCCCAACACAATACTCTCTGCTAGAAATCCTGATGAATCATCTTAACTTCAGAACTCATTTTTATCCACACAATATAAACTTTCGTATTTATAATAAAATTAGCATGTTATGTTAAAAATTATTTGTATTATTTTACCTCATTTGTATTAATTTTTCACCGTGTGGTATTAAAGTATGTATTATTGAGACTTTGAATCAAAGTAAGATATTTTTTATCAAAAATGCTTCAAATACATGTTATTAAAACAGTTGTACAGGACATACTTTATTTTATGTAAGGTGTATTCCAAGAAGTGAGAAATAAATGATACACCCATTAGTGACGAGAAGGTCAATTTTGACCGGGTGAGGTTTCTTTTTAAAGTGCCTTTTTTCTTAAACTAAAGGTTGTCTTGTCTTTTCCTGCGCTTTCCTTAGGATTTCCTGTTTTCAAAACATATTTTATATTTGACGTAACTTCAAAATTGGGTTTTTATTTTCTTTTCAATTTAAAAAAAACCCAAAAAAACAAGATTTTGAATTCGGAAAAAACCCAAAAGATCACCCTGTAATTTAGTTTTGAATCTATAAAATTGTCAATTTTTTTGCTAGAAAAAATTTAAAGATATTTTTGGAATCTTCTTTTAAAGATCTAAATAACTAAAACTTGAAAAGTAAAGTTTTGAAGATAATTAAATAATTATGAATTACCAAAGTTTTTTAGATTTTCATGTTTTACAGGTCACCCTGTACAAAAAAAATTCAAAAATTTAATTGAATATCATTTTTTCATGAGTACAATCAAGTTTTGTTTTGACAAGATCCTTCTAAAACAACTTCACTAAAAGTTACTGGTCTCGTCACTAATGGGTTAAAGTGTTTATTTAATTTGAATATGTAATTTTAACAATTCAAATTTTCCCTGTTTTTGGNATCATGTAATCCTGGATACTTTCCTAATAATCATGTAATCCTGGATACTTTCCTAATAATCATGTAATCCTGGATACTTTCCTAATAATCATGTAATCCTGGATACTTTCCTAATAATCATGTAATCCTGGATACTTTCCTAATAATCATGTAATCCTGGATACTTTCCTAATAATCATGTAATCCTGGATACCTTCATAATTTTCCGGCTACCATGGATATTTTCATAAATTTTTTAAATCCTGGATACTTTCCTAATACTCATTAAATCTTGGTTACTTTCCTTATTTTCCTGTAATCCTGGATACTCTCCTAAATTTCTTGTAATCTTGGATGCTTTCCTAATTTTCCTGTAATTCTGAATGCTATCCTAATTTTCCTCTTATCGTGGATACTTTCCTAATTTACCTGTAATCAAGGACACTTTTCTAATTTTCCTGTAATCCTGAATAGTCTCCTAATTATTTTCCTGTAATCTTGGAAGCTTTCCTAATTTTCCTGTAATCCTGGATACTTTCCTAATTTTCCTGTTATCATGGATACTTTCCTAAATTTCTTGTAATCCAGGACAACTTACCAATTTTCCTGTAATCCTTGATTTTTTTCATATATAACAGTTATTTTCTTAAATTCCATTTTAAAATGTGTTTTGTTGTTAACTTTCTTTAAAAACCTTATAGTTTAAATTTACAATGCTAACTTCTCTTTAATTCGGAAGTTTTTTTGTTAAACATTTCGCTTTATTTAATTTTATCCTTATTTTTCCCTTTTCCCTCTCATTAACCTGCTTTTCCATCTTTCACTCCCTTTCTTTTTCTCCTTTTTTTATTTTTTTTCTCATTAAAACAATGTTCCGTTCGAGTTAAAACCTGGTCCAGAAAGCATAGCATGAGGTTGAAAATAAACAATTGCAGTGTCCGAAAGAAGAGGAAACCCTATTCCAAATTTCAATTGGCAGAATTAGAAAAAGAATATCTATTCAATGCATATGTTTCTAAGCAAAAAAGGTATATGGAGCAGGGGTAGTAGTGCTTGTGTACCCTGGGAATACTCTAACAAAAACATGAAAACATTAAAAGTTTATCAAATTTTAAACCGTATTTTCCATAAGCGTGGCTTCTATTACCATTGTGCCCAATTCCACCAATATTTGTTTAGTCTTATAGTCTTATATACGTCAAAGTAAACCTTGTTCTTTGTGAAAAAGTAAACGTATTGAGTCATGCAATATATAAAAAATATTTCAAATTCTTGTGGGGCCTTTCAAAAGTCAAAAAACTTGATTTGAATAGAGTTTACAAAACTGTGCCCATTGATTCTGCTTTACGGACGAAACTAATTTAAATCCAATGGAACAAATCTCAACTCTCATTGGACATATTTTCTTAAGAAAGTTTGTCGATCTGACCAATGGGAGATGAGATTTTACTAAGATCTTCTATTCACCCGGACAAAATTACAGTTTCCAGATTCAAAAGTTATCAACTCTCTTTATTTGGAAAAAAGATTACAGCGAATTTACTTCATAACTTTTAATGTCTAATGTAGGAAATAAAACTTTATAAAAATGAATATTTTTGAAGTTTTTTGTTTGAGTGTTCCCGGTACAGGGTGTATTATCTCTCCGTCATATTCGTTTCTTTTTGTCCACCCTGTTCTTAAAACTGTAGTAGACCTTCTCGTGGAAGCCAAACCATCAAAAAAAAAAAATTCTTTATGAAAGATTTAACTATCTTCACCATGGCTTGACTTTCAATGGAGGGGCTGCTAGAGTATTAAGAGCATAGAAACATCTGTTTTTGGGACACACAGCTTGGTCAAATTTTATATTTTTTAATTTTGGGACACACGGCATTGTAAACTTTTACAATTTTTTCATTTATTGGGGCACACAGCTTGATCAATTTTTATAATTTTTTCATTTATTGGGACACACAGCTTTGTCAATGTTTAGAATTTTTATTTTGGGAGACGCAGCTTGGTCAAGTAATTATCTTAAATTTTGTGACTCAAAGCTTATTAGATTTTTTATTGCTATTTTATTATTTATTAAATGAAATTTTGACGTACTCAACTTGGTCGAATTCTTCATTGCCACAAATTTTGTGGCACACAGTTTGGTCAAATTTGTTCAAATTTTGAAGAAAGGTTGGGTAAGATTAACCTCTAAATATTCCAGATGGGAGCTAGCTAGAAATTTGAATCTCACAGAACGACAGATTAAAATTTGGTTTCAAAATAGGTCAGGTTTTCATTATTGATATTACATGGGGTATTTGAATCAACAAAATAGTGAAATTAACGAGTTTTTTCTATTTTCTGAAAACATTTTCCCTTTCTTTAAAGGCATTGTAAGTGTGATTTCAAATTATCATTCATGCAATGATGGCCATACCCCGATTCACTACGGTACCTTGTAAGGTTTGTCTGATCAAGTATGAATTAGATATCAATGTTTATAATTTTAAAAACTGATTATTTTAAATTGTGGATTTTCTATAAAAGTGACTTTCCCATATCTCCGGCAGGAGAACATATAGAAATTATCAGAATGAAACACTTTAAAACATAAAGGTTTCAAGGGTACCGTTGTTAATCGGGCATTTCCATCTTATTATGGAGGTTCACATTGAATTATACTTACAGTCCCTTCAACTACTATTGGGGATTTTTTTCCTTAAAGATTTTGGCTGGTTGGCCAGCTGTAACAGACTCATTGGGAGGGTTGAGACCTAATAATGAAACCCTGCATAAGGAGGATGAAGAGCAAGAAGAACAGTCAAAGACAGTCTAATCAGCCCAGTAGTGGAGATGGGTCATCCCACTCCCAACAAGCTAATCAAGCACATAATATAGGTATTAAGTCATAAAATACCTATATAGTGAATAGTCATAATATAGGTATAAAGTCATAAAATACCTATATAGTGAATAGTCATCCTATAGGTATAAAGTCATAAAATACCTATATAGTCAAAATATAGGTATAAAATCATAATATAGGTATAGTATTATAGTATAGGTTATAGGTATATATAGTCATTATACAAATAAAATTTGTCATAATATAGGTATATAGTCATACTATAGATTTAAAGTGTCATACTATAAATACAAAATGTCATAGTATAGGTATATAGTCATACTATAGGTATAGTGTCATAATAAATAGGTATATAATCATAATATAGGCATAGTGTTATAATATAGGTATATAATCATGATATAGGTATATAGTCATAATATAGGCATAGTGTTATAATATAGCTATATAATCATAATATAGGTATAATGTGAAAATATAGGCATAGTGTTATAATATAGGTATATAATCATAATATAGGTATATAGTCATAATATAGGCATAGTGTTATAATATAGCTATATAATCATAATATAGGTATATAGTCATACTATAGATTTAGAGTGTCATACTATAAATACAAAATGTCATAGTATAGGTATAGTGTCATAATAAAAAGGTATATAGTTATAATTGGTATCATATCATAGGTATAGTGTGCTTTAATATGGTTATAGAGTGTCATAATATAGGTTATAGTTCAACTATAGGGTGTAAATATTTCCATTTACTGAGAGCGCTGATTGAAGGATTCATATCTCTTATTGGTTAATGAGATAGATAGGAAGATAGATGTTACCGCCATACTATTTCTTTTGGTTCAGAATAGACAACAAACACATGACTGAACCCTGATTGGATCAGGCGCTAATGGACTCGGCATACCGACACTTTATTTAGTATTTTCTTGTTATACTTTATAAATAAGTTACTAATTTAAATTAAACTAACTTACTTGACAAAGATATAGTGCGTCTTAATAAAGTGAGCGTGTAGAAATTCATTCTTATTGTGCACCTTGATAATATAAATTGTTGCACTAATTTAGATTTAAATAAATAAATGAAACCTGATCTGTACTTTGTTTAATTCTAACCGTCTATACCCTCTCAACCTGTAAAACTATAATATCTCATATTTCAATAAGAACAATGTAGAATAAACTTACAATATGGCGGAGATTAAAGATTAAACTTTGTTTCAGGATCTTCGGGGCATGTTGGGCTGAAACCATGAGCAGAGTCAAAGCCTCACGAGGATGACACCTCGTGGGGCAGGAGGCCAGAGTTTGAGCCTCGGCTGGATCAGCTGACTGAGCAGCTGGCCGATCAGCTGACTGATCAACCGGACAGCTGGAATGCACAGCCGAAGACTGAACCACAATCCCCCAGAGCCTTCTCTGACTTTGGTCGGTCTCCTAGCACACCTTCGCGTCACTTTGCGTTTGCGCCATACGCGCAGCACTTTGAGGGAATGCCGCAAATTGTTCCCAATCCAGACCCGTTCCACCTCCAGGTGGACTGTTAAGTTCCATGTTAGCCATTTCGTTAAACAAAATGGCGATAAATGGTGACGAACAATACAAAAAAACATAAATGTGATTAAACACTGGTGGAATTGTAAGGCTTTTAGTGTGTTTTCAACCCTTTTTAACCCTGATATAATGTTAATGTTTTAATGGTTTTATCAATGTTGATAAAATCAGTTTTTAGGATTTTCTATAAGAATTTGTATAGTAAAGTTTTAAATCTAAGTCAAGTATTTAAATATTTGCTGGATGAATACCTCAAAAAATTTGCAAATATAGTTTGTTGAAACCCTTTTCATGCACGGCAGTTATCAGTTCGGGAAGAAAAAAGTATCAATATTCTTCTTTTCATGATAACTTAACAATTTCCGACAGAAGAGCATAAAGAAGTTAATTCATTTAGGATTAATATCAAAATTAAACAATGTTTTCACTATTTACTTTTCAGCACAGTCCCTTTGTTCTTGAAACTATAAAATGTTTTTAGTTTTCTGTCACAAAAAATAAGCTGCCCTCTGCACTTCTCCCTTCCTCTTTAACTTAGAAAAAACTGATAATTTCCTGTTAAAATTAAACAAATGTGTTGATGTATTTATGTACATTAATCATGTACTGTACACTCTGCACCTATTACCATTTAGAAGATTTTAATTGAAATGAAATTTAAGTAATTTTTATTTAATTAAATAAAAGAATTTCTTTTGTAAGACTGAACTAGTTTTTGTACAGTTGACTAAATTCTTAAAAAGCTTTTTATTTGAATCTATTAAAGGGATCGACTTTAGGCGTGAATATATCCTCATTTACTGATTGGCATGCTCTATTCACATCGGTACAGTTTAAACCTTTATCTGAACAATCATTTGGAAGATATCCTCGTTTTTCTTGCTTTAAAAAAATGTTTAAGTCTGACTATTTTTGTTTAAAATAAAAAATTATGGATATCTCACGCGTTTTTGATCAGACAAAGCTTCCAAGGGTACCCACCGTGAACCTTACATACACTTTGCAAATAAGGAGTCACTTAAATACTCGTTGACAGTCCCTTTAAAGTACCGAGATTCATTCAGGGAAAGCTTTTAATTCCTTCTGATTGGAAAGGTGTTTTAAAGACTTGTATTCCCCCAAACTGCCCAAAAATGTACATAATTTAACTTGGGGTCAATTGGTCTCAAGGTGGGAATATAAATGGAAAATATATGTTTTAACTTTGAAGAGCAGGGGGGGGGGGTCGAAAGAGGAAGTTTAAAATCCAAATTCAAAAATGTTCATGCCCGATTGAAAAAGGTATATTTTAAACCTTTGTCTGAGTAAAGACAATTCAAACATCCTTGTTTTTTATTCTGAAAAATGATAATTTTTGATTTAATATTTCATCCATCTCTCAAGTTAATTTACTCTGTGTACTGGTGATTACAAAAAGATATTGTTATAGATTTGTTTTAATTATTTATGACCTGCCAGTTTAAAGATACAAACAAACATATTTAAGAAAAAGGAATTTAGAATCCGAATTGTTAACATAACTTACATTAATCAGAAATTAAATGGAAAGATAATCTGAGAAATCAGAAATTAAATGGAAAGATAATCTGAGAAATCAGAAATTAAATGAAAAGATAATCTGAGAAATCAGAAAGTAAATGGAAAGATAATCTGAAAAATCAGAAAGTAAATGGAAAGATAATCTGAGAAATCAGAAAGTAAATGGAAAGATAATCTGAAAAATCAGAAAGTAAATGGAAAGATAATCTGA